CGGAGGCGGCCGGCTTCCTCCAAAACTTTGGTAGCAAAGGCCAGCGTCGTGCCGGGTCGGCGCGGGAGAAGGAACGTGCCCGGATCGAGTCCTTCACCTTTACTTTGCTATTTATTGTCTGTAAGGTAGCGAATGTCTACGGGGAAGAGACGAAAAGTGAAATGCAACCTAGGACTTTTCCTGGCTAAAAATATATACGTGGAGGGAACAACAGATGATGGGCGATGTTTGCTGTTTTGGAAAGAGGTCATGGAAAACCGTCTTGCTGATAAAAGCACATGTAAAGTATGTAGTACGGAATGGTTACAGCGCTGCAGGAATTGTTCTGTGTGCATATTAAAGGAGCCACACAAAACTTTCCCCTTTTTTTTGTCTACGGGGGGAAACTTAACCCAATCGCAAAGGTATTTTTGGAATGGCTTCTATGCTTGTTTTTTTGAATCCCACCACATCTTGGTGAGAAATTTCGTATTAGTGCAGCGTGTCAGAGCCTTGCGATGTCTGGGTACTATGGCAATCACTTCTTCTGTGAGTGGTGCAGTATAAATCAACAGTGACCTGTCACAGCATCCATTTCACAGGCAGTCTGGTTGCCCTCTGTGTCAGGAGGCATGTGAACCACCACATGCATTATATGAGTGTGGTAGCCTCAACACATTCCACAGCCTATTTTTAAGAATGGAAATGAGCTTAACTGAGGATGAGCAATTTATGTTCGAGTGGTTTTCTTTTTTTCTTTCTATAGTTTCTTGACTATTTTTGTATACAGTTCTTCTTGTGCTGCATCTTTTTGTCCTCACTCCCCCTTTTCCGAGGTCATATAGATTCAGGACCAATGCTGACTTCAAATACACAATCAGGAATATTTGTGTTCAGTGGGATTATGCCAGTTTTAATAAGGTCCGGATTTCACATGTAGTTCATTTTTCCTTGAATATCACTCGCTTTTCCTTCCCAATACAAAACCTAGCGTGAACTGCCTGTTGCAGGGCCCAAGACGTGACAGCGCCATCAAGATACTCTCCTTGCATTTCTGTTTGTCTGAACCCGTCTTTGATTCCCTGATTTACGCTAACACTTTATGATCTCTGGGGCAGAAAGTTTCTTTTTCTTTGCTATGCAAATTCTCAGCGGGATCATGGCCTGCAGTGAGGGCTCCCAGGACCAAATGATTAATGAATAGGTCTGTGCTTCTCAAACTTAGAGAAGAAAATCTCTGGGAACTGCTCATTCCAGATACTAACTTGAAATCCAAGTGAGCTCTTCATGTGATCTGCCTGCATTTAAGTTGAGAACCAGTACGCTGCCATGATTTGAATGTCCTTGAAACAGCCCATATGGAGATGGAGAAGCAATTGCCGCCTTCTCCCAGTCTACCCGATCTCACTCTGCTACGAAGGGACAGAAAAGCCTAGTTTTGCATCGTGGTCCTGCCTTATTATTTGACTGGCAAAAGACTTGTGCTGTGCAAGGTTTGGTGTTTCCCGCCAGCTTGTTGTTTAACGCCGTGCTGCAGGAACCTGGGCTCTGCCCGAGCGCAGCCCCTGGCATGTACGTTGGCTATGATGCCTGGCTTGGCTTCTTCCAACAGGAGAGCACTGTCAGTTCTTTCTGTGACATGACAGCTAAAATAACTCTTTCAGAGCCGTTCATCAGTTGTTCGGTACACGTATTTTCTACCAGATGTCCTTTAGAGGGCCAGCAATGATTTCTTAAATGTAATTTTTATGGGAGAAAATAATGCTACACAATTGAGTCTGTTTCCGGGATGGCTGCTTGCATGGCGCGACAGCTCCAAGAGTAAAACGCTGTAATGGATTCGCACCTACGTTCTTCATAGAAGAGACTATTGGAGAGACTTCAGCAAATGTGCCAATACGAGTAAACTGCGAAAGAAGTTGCCCCTGCTGTTTTAGAGCCTTGCCAAACTAAAGATCACTGGCTCCCCTTCATGCAAGTTTAAGACAAGCGCTAAGTGTGTTGCAGTGCTGCTGTAGGGACAAGCAGGCCCAAAGGCTACAAATGAGCCAGCAGGTACCTTCTAGTTTCATGTTTGCTATGGAAAATCCATCGGTTGGTGCCATATCCATACGTTAGTCCCTTCATATATAGAACAAAACGGTGGTGGAAGAAACTGGTACTCAAAGAGAGGAACACATTTTCACATTTCTAATTTTCCCTTCCGCTGAAACGTGGAATTGTTGGTAGAGGGAGTCAGTGCAGCCAGTCTCTTTGTCGTAATGCAAACGGATGTAAATTCTTACAATGTTGGCCTTGCCTGAATAAAAAGTATACTGACAAATTCCACCGAGGCTTTCATGATTAATTAACTAAAGGCAAAAAATTCACTTGCTCTGTTAAAATTATCCCCTGGGGGAAACTTTGACCTAAATTTTATATTTCCATTGCAATCCAAAGTAAATACGCTGGGCCCTGTTCTAATTTCACTTATATCACTTTTACACCGGCCCTGCCTCGCTGCACTGAACGGGGTTACTCCTGCCTCTTAGCAAGAGCAGGAGCTGGGGCTTGGCTGCGGTCAACAGCAGGGAGCTGCAAGGTCTCCGCTCCCACCAAAGAGTTGTCTCTCCAGGAGCTATTGCTATTATAGCTGTTTGCTATTGTAGGAATTTCAGAGCAACCTCATTTGCGATTTGCCCAAAGGAATCCTTTGATTTGTTTATGTCGGTCAGAGATTTGGGCTGCCGAAAAAATAGGTGCCACAGTCTTCCTCAGCAGAGCTGAGAGGCAGAGTCGCAGGCTGGGCTGCGCGTGGGGAACAAGCTTTAGTACTGGTATTTATGCCATCTTGTATCAGGAATATCTTTCTTCAATATTTCTCATGTTCACTTGAAGGAATTTCTTCTGAAATGTTCTTGTGGGGATGGCTTAAATTGTTATTGTTTCTGATCCTCATGGAAAAATCTACTTACTGTGTCCATTACGTAGCTCCTC